TTATTATTATTATTATTATTATTATTATTATTATTATTATTATTATTATTATTATTATTATTATTATTATTATTATTATTATTATTATTATTATTATTATTATTATTATTATTATTATTATTATTATTATTATTATTATTATTATTATTATTATTATTATTATTATTATTATTATTATTATTATTATTATTATTATTAATTACCCGTGGAACATTAACACTATGCCACCCTCTTCCCAGATGTTTTTATCGCTGAAACTGCGATATTTGTTATAGCAATATAAAAATATTCATCGTCTGTCTATCATTACTATTGGATTCCTTTCATTTCGGAAGCCTTTAAAAAAGGCATTCATTCGACATCGATTAATCTTTAGGATTCTGTTAAACAATCTATGGATGAATATTAGCGTAATCAATCCCGCACCTCCTCTCAGTGTTAATCCACTTTAAATTAATATCGCAGTATTCCTTATCAGAAACTGCTATTACGTTAGCATTACAATGGACATTCAAGTTATTGCCGCACCACGACAAGTACGACCAGTGTCACTGATCAGAATGTGCAATACAAAGTTGAATATCATAAAGTTAATTTGGATGGTACCCTGCAGTTACTGATAATTACTTTTCACTTAATCATTCTCTGTTCTCTACGAATCGTTTTTCATTGAAACATACAAGCTTTGCAGCGTCATTCGTCTAATATCAATTGTCCATTGTCCATTTCTGATTGAAAAGTGATGACTTTTGATTGGATCAAAATTCATAGATATAAGAGTAAAGGAGGATTTCCAGTGCTAAAGAAGAAAAGACGTTTCAGGTTGGAATTACATTAGCCGTACTTTTCTTAATGAATTGCAAATTTAAGCAACAACTTACTTAAGAGTACTGGTTCTTTCAGTTTTAGGAATTAGATCAAAGTAAGGGAGGAATAGAATTCGAAATATTGCTTCAATCTCTTACAATATTTTCAGGATTGAATTTCTGCTACCGTTGTTTGCTCTTAAATGAAAAAAACGACAATAGTCGATGATTCATTTTGATCTGTGAGGTTTCATATTTCTGACAAAAATGCAAATTTACACTGTTCATCCAAAGACTTTCATGTGACGGGATATATTCTGTTAATCCCAATTTCTATAAAAACTTGTTTATGACAGTATTACTTTTTTGCATAAATTATGTGGACAATTTCGATTACACAATGTATGCTATTCAATTTTCAACACAAAAGCAATAACTGAGATTAATTTCGACTTTTTTTTTGATTTTTGACTGAAATTATATTCAACATAAAAGGCGCATCTTTTCATTCAGAAAAAGAATTCATAACCAGCTTGTCTGTTGTCACAAACTGTCCCCTCAAATTCGTTTCGATAAATTCTTCTACTTATTTTATAGTTTTGACTATTCATCATGGCTAAAACACGAATGACAGAATTTATTTTGATTGTTTCACACTGAACCACAATGAATTTAGGCCTGACTCTTACTTGTATTACCTACCAATCATTTACTGTTGCTCATCAAAAGAAACATGCAATAAACTGGCCAAATATAAAAACTTCTCTTATGAAAGAATAATTCGTAGAAAATTGCATATTTTAGCAAGCAGATTAATCACAAATCCAAAATGATTGGGTCCATTTAAATAAACTTCTAAGAAATCGAAATTCCCTGATAATTGTGAAATAATTCAACAAAGTCGTACAGGTTATCGAAATCATTGAATACATTTTGTAATTTACAGCTTGGATTTTAAATGGCTTGTTTCCATGCATTAACGATGGATTTTAAATGCCTTGTTATCCTTATACTCGTTCTGGGCCGTGTAGTATCATTTAATACTTCTTTAGCAACAGGTAGACCTTTTGAATTTTAGCTTTGAATGAAATGTTCTGAAGTTATATTTCAGTCGATGTGATACTTATCCATAATCAGGGAACTGAAATGAATTTCACTGCATGATGCATTTGCTGTTGAAACATCTGAAAAACGGGAAGTTTAGTGAAAATTTAATTGAAATTTCAGGCGAAATAGATGACCGAACGTACAACGAAAATGAAATTCAGTATCTTAACAATCTATTAAAGAAAGCTTTCACTTGTAGAGAAGTGGGAGATAAAATTGCTGCTGGCTTATCCGACGAAGATTTAAAAAATATGGCGTTAGCAATTATCTTTTACTCATATATTATTACGCTACAAATATTCCTTAAAGTCGAAATCATATCCGTCAAATTGCGTCAATTCTGTTACTAATTACTAAAGGAGATAGGACAAATTGCAATTAGTTTATGATTGAATTCCAATGAATTGATTAGTAATAATAATAATGGATCATTCGTTTATATCATCTTACA